GAGTGAAGGCCTTACTGAATGTTAGGAGTGAAGACTTTACTGAATGTTAGGAGTGAAGGCTTTACTGAATGTTAGGAGTGAAGGCCTTACTGAATGTTAGGAGTGAAGGCCTTACTGAATGTTAGGAGTGAAGGCTTTACTGAATGTTAGGAGTGAAGGCTTTACTGAATGTTAGGAGTGAAGTGAATGTTAGGAGTGAAGGCCTTACTGAATGTTAGGAGTGAAGGCTTTCCTGAATGTTAGGAGTGAAGGCCTTACTGAATGTTAGGAGTGAAGACTTTACTGAATGTTAGGAGTGAAGGCTTTACTGAATGTTAGGAGTGAAGGCTTTACTGAATGTTAGGAGTGAAGGCTTTACTGAATGTTAGGAGTGAAGGCCTTACTGAATAGGAGTGAAGGCTTTACTGAATGTTAGGAGTGAAGGCCTTACTGAATGTTAGGAGTGAAGGCTTTACTGAATGTTAGGAGTGAAGGCCTTACTGAATGTTAGGAGTGAAGGCTTTACTGAATGTTAGGAGTGAAGGCTTTACTGAGATTTAGGAGTGAAGACTTTACTGAATGTTAGGAGTGAAGGCTTTACTGAATGTTAGGAGTGAAGGCCTTACTGAATGTTAGGAGTGAAGGCCGTACTGAATGTTAGGAGTGAAGACTTTACTGAATGTTAGGAGTGAAGACTTTACTGAATGTTAGGAGTGAAGGCCTTACTGAATGTTAGGAGTGAAGGCTTTACTGAATGTTAGGAGTGAAGACTTTACTGGATGTTAGGAGTGAAGGCTTTACTGAGATTTAGGAGTGAAGGCTTTACTGAATGTTAGGAGTGAAGGCCTTACTGAATGTTAGGAGTGAAGGCCTTACTGAATGTTAGGAGTGAAGGCTTTACTGAATGTTAGGAGTGAAGGCCTTACTGAATGTTAGGAGTGAAGACTTTACTGAATGTTAGGAGTGAAGGCTTTACTGAATGTTAGGAGTGAAGGCTTTACTGAATGATAGGAGTGAAGGCTTTACTGAATGTTAGGAGTGAAGGCCTTACTGAATGTTAGGAGTGAAGGCCTTACTGAATGTTAGGAGTGAAGACTTTACTGAATGTTAGGAGTGAAGACTTTACTGAATGTTAGGAGTGAAGGCCTTACTGAATGTTAGGAGTGAAGACTTTACTGAATGTTAGGAGTGAAGGCTTTACTGAATGTTAGGAGTGAAGGATTTACTGAATGTTAGGAGTGAAGACTTTACTGAATGTTAGGAGTGAAGGCTTTACTGAGATTTAGGAGTGAAGACTTTACTGAATGTTAGGAGTGAAGGAGTTTAATTGAAGTTTTATCTTATGTTAATGTGAGGCACTACATCAAGGCTTTTTTGTCAAATGAAATAAGAACTATTACATCTAGGTTATATTTTAAAGGTCCAGTCATAAAGCAGTCAAGTACAAATGTGTTATTAAACTAGAGTAATAAAAGTTTACATATATATAGATAAGTGGTCATTTACAGTACACATACTGGTTGACAGGCAGAATTCTAATATCTTACAGTAACTCTAACGACACATGTGATCCCAACCACCTCAGTTCTCCTTTATTCCTGTTTTTGTAAATTGATAAATTTGAAAAATAAGGTTCAGCATCAATGCATTTTATAGACTCTTATTGGAAATAATTGAAACACATCTGCATAAAACATATTTTATTTATATCAATTTACTTATATGTTGCTTTTTTCATTCCATTCTAACCACGTAGTGTTTTATGACCACTTTACCAGATGCTGTCCTGGGCAGGGACGAAATCAACATTATTGTTGGTAATTTCTTTCATGGAATTTAATTTTCCTTTCGAGGTTAATGGAGCATGGCGTTACCTGTGGAGGCCATCCACCCATGTGTATTAAATATAAACTCTCGCCTTTTGTACGTCTCACCACAGTGCTGTATATTCAAGGACATAAATCATCAATTCTAGCCTATATTGACAGTTTTGGGAAAAAGCCGTTTTGTTTGGTCCCTGTTGGGCATTTTATTTCTGTCATCAGAAGAAAAAAGACATCTCTGTTACAAATATAGTCACTCTGTCATCAACCGGAGTCTGTCGTCGTAAATTCTACTCTTCTGACAGAATCATGGCTGATGTATTGTCACAGTAGTTTCGTAAGGTTTCTATTCGAGGCTTTTATGTGTACATGTGTGTACTTTATGGAATAAGAGATATCAAAGGTGATAGTTGGTGCAAACAGTAGGATACTTTAAAGGTGCCCTCAGCTAACCTCTTATAAACCTTTCTCCTGTTGATCTGGATGTAGAAAGGGCTGCATGGAATCTTTAGTCTCTGAAAAATTGATTATTGAAATTAATTTGAAATTGTAAAAGGTTACATTCATTCTTTGTTAAAATGTCATATGTTTGTTACATTCATCCTGTTCTGTCCTTGTGGATGCATTAGCTGTTTCAATAGTAATTTGGGGAAAGTTCCTGCTACAATGATGGTATGTGTTCTGTAGATCCAGTTGACAACATCAAAGTTCTAATACAGTAGAAATCCATTATGTAATATTTCTCCAAAAGATTGTTCCTCCCTGCATTCTCCTACACATTCCCTCTCTATTGTGTTCCTCTCTATACTGTCTGTTCACATTCCTTCTTGAAACTGTCCCTACTGTGTCCCTCCCTCCTTTGTCTCATCACTAAGCCCCTTGTACACGGTCTCTCCCTACTGTGTCCCTTCCTCCTTTGTCTCATCACTAAGCCCCTTGTAAACTGTCACTAATGTGTCCCTCCCTTCTTTGTCTCATCACTAAGCCCCTTGTACACTGTCCCTACTGTGACCCTCCCTTCATGTCCCTTCCTACTCTGTCCCTACTGTGACCCTCCATTCACTGTCCCTTCCTACACTGTCCCTACTGTGACCCTCCATTCACTGTCCCTTCCTACACTGTCCCTACTGTGACCCTCCATTCACTGTCCCTTCCTACACTGTCCCTACTGTGACCCTCCCTTCATGTCCCTTCCTACTCTGTCCCTACTGTGACCCTCCATTCGCTGTCCCTTCCTACACTGTCCTTACTGTGACCCTCCATTTGCTGTCCCTTCCTACACTGTCCCTACTGTGACCCTCCATTCACTGTCCCTTCCTACACTGTCCTTACTGTGACCCTCCATTTGCTGTCCCTTCCTACACTGTCCCTACTGTGACCCTCCATTCACTGTCCCTTCCTACACTGTCCCTACTGTGACCCTCCATTTGCTGTCCCTTCCTACACTGTCCCTACTGTGAACCTCCATTCATGTCCCTTCCTACACTGTCCTTACTGTGACCCTCCATTTGCTGTCCCTTCCTACACTGTCCCTACTGTGAACCTCCATTCATGTCCCTTCCTACACTGTCCCTACTGTGACCCTCCATTCGCTGTCCCTTCCTACACTGTCCTTACTGTGACCCTCCATTTGCTGTCCCTTCCTACACTGTCCCTACTGTGACCCTCCATTCACTGTCCCTTCCTACACTGTCCTTACTGTGACCCTCCATTTGCTGTCCCTTCCTACACTGTCCCTACTGTGAACCTCCATTCATGTCCCTTCCTACACTGTCCCTACTGTGACCCTCCATTTGCTGTCCCTTCCTACACTGTCCCTACTGTGAACCTCCATTCACTGTCCCTTCCTACACTGTCCTTACTGTGACCCTCCATTCATGTCCCTTCCTACACTGTCCCTACTGTGAACCTCCATTCATGTCCCTTCCTACACTGTCCCTACTGTGACCCTCCATTCATTGTCCCTTCCTACACTGTCCCTACTGTGACCCTCCCTTCATGTCCCTTCCTACACTGTCCCTACTGTGACCCTCCCTTCATGTCCCTTCCTACTCTGTCCCTGCTGTGACCCTCCATTCGCTGTCCCTTCCTACACTGTCCTTACTGTGACCCTCCATTTGCTGTCCCTTCCTACACTGTCCCTACTGTGACCCTCCATTCGCTGTCCCTTCCTACACTGTCCTTACTGTGACCCTCCATTTGCTGTCCCTTCCTACACTGTCCCTACTGTGAACCTCCATTCGCTGTCCCTTCCTACGCTGTCCCTACTGTGACCCTCCATTCACTGTCCCTTCCTACACTGTCCCTATTGTGACCCTCCATTCATGTCCCTTCCTACACTGTCCCTACTGTGACCCTCCCTTCATGTCCCATCCTACACTGTCCCTACTGTGACCCTCCCTTAATGTCCCTTCCTACACTGTCCCTACTGTGACCCTCCCTTCATGTCCCATCCTACACTGTCCCTACTGTGACCCTCCCTTCATGTCCCTTCCTACACTGTCCCTACTGTGACCCTCCCTTCATGTCCCTTCCTACACTGTACCTACTGTGACCCTCCCTTCATGTCCCTTCCTACACTGTCCCTACTGTGACCCTCCCTTCATGTCCCTTCCTACACTGTCCCTACTGTGAACCTCCATTCACTGTCCCTTCCTACACTGTCCTTACTGTGACCCTCCATTCACTGTCCCTTCCTACACTGTCCTTACTGTGACCCTCCATTCATGTCCCTTCCTACACTGTCCCTACTGTGACCCTCCCTTCATGTCCCTTCCTACACTGTCCCTACTGTGACCCTCCCTTCATGTCCCTTCCTACACTGTCCCTACTGTGACCCTCCCTGCACTTAATAGATAGGTTTTCAGTAGGTTTCTGTTCCTATAAGCACACTTTCATGCTGCTGAACCAAGGTGTCCTTATTTCTGATAAAGGAGTGAACATCAACATACTGACTTGATTTCAGTGTATGTTTTTTCACTAGCTTGGTACATGCATGTGGCAATATTGCCTCATGTTGAGAATATAAGTGCCGAATTTGGAAGGAAATTTCAGTAAATTGCAAACCTTGGAATTTGGTTTAAATACGAAATATTTGCAATTGGAAATGGTGTCTGTTATTGGCCCAAAGAAAGCCCAGTATGTACCTAGATATTGATTCTGCTAGATGATAATTTTTGGTGTCTTTTTATTTTCCAGCTTAAATTATTAAACCTGTATATCAAGCGTGCCCAGCAGAAAGAATCTGAGAAGAAGGTTTTGTCTCCCAACGCCACAGACTCGTGAGGCATAACAGGATCCATAGCTGGAATACACCAGTGATCCCCGCACCTGTAGTGGATCTACCCAAATCCTGAATTCTTATTGGATATCAGATGTCATGTGATTGATATCAGAACTTTTCATTGGATGTATGAATGGTGGAAGTTGGGGGTGCATCCTCATTTTATTTCAGACATCATTGAAATAGGATATCATTTAGGATGTTGATTGTGTGGTATACCCAGCTGGCAACCAGGAACCCTTTGGTGCCGAGTTGGCTGGATATTTCATTGTACAACTTGAGCTTCAGTCTGAAGTGCTTACATGACACATGGTGTAGTACTTTGCTTCCACTGGATATTCTGTATCATGTGACCAGTGTCATTGAAGGATAATTTTTTCAATCATCTTGCTTCAGAATGTACCGTCAACGATATGGGCCATATCTTATATTACGTCAATCAGTGTTCCAGTGAACCGTCACATCAAAATTGTGTGGTCAAAGATAACACTTAAGATCCAATCAGATCAGAATGATTGTATTTACCATTATAAGCCAATCAGAATTATTGTACCAATTTTATTAAAGCATTTAATGACCTGCCAATCATGTAACTCCCTTTTTTTATCTGCCTCACATGTATAAGACCTTGTGACTCCTGTGGAGGCAATGTGGAACAGACCCTCAATGATGATGGGCCAGTCCAATGCAGTTCATGGGATGACAGGTAGGGATGAAAAGTCCAAGGTCATTACATAGATATACTTAAATGATACTAGTCTTGGTGTAGTTCCATAGTTTTTTTGTTTTTTTTTTTGTTTTTTTGTCATAATGTGTTGACATCTATATATGATCAAAATATGGCTACACGCATGATATTATTACTGATTTGATTTGCTGGGCTGTGTTCATTGTCAGCAGAGTGTTTTAATCGTATCATAATTACAAGTGTTGTTGTGAGGAAGATGAGCAGAAGTTTACCTGAGTGTGACAGTGTTCTTTTATTTCAAAGGAAAAAGGCTTTGTTTATTTCTCACGAGATGACATCGATCTTTATCTAAGCAATGATTTTGTGGTTAAATGTTTGACATTCTACCAATGAAAACTCTTATAATACGTTATGTATGCTATAGTGTATTAAATGTGATATTGCTGGTAAGTCTTGAGGAAAAGTTTTATCACCTGTGTGATCTAAGGGTTTTTAACATCCAGTATATGTACATATTGTCCAGCATTCCACAGTAACATACCAGTATTGTGAATCCTTCTCTATCACATCCTTGTATCAAACCTCAGAAAACTTGTTTGATGTGATACAAAACTTCTTCAGGCCTTGGCTTAACCGTACATAGTATACAGATACCATAGTCATACCATGTCAACATAGTCGGAATATAGACTTATTTTCACAACCACAACACGTCATTTAGACTTGTTTAAAGTTCAAAGATATGGTCTTAGCTTGTTTCAGATCAGAACATTATTGCCAATCTGGCTGGTTCCGTCACTCATAGTAACAAGAGTTAGCACCTAGAACTTTCTTACTGCCAATCGAAGCAATTCCTCTCATGGTCATTGAACATTTTACATAGTGTCTATCATATTGTGGCCGTGGTTTATGTCGTGTTGGAAAGACCCTGTGTAGACTTGTGAGGTTTTTTCTTGTTAAGTGACATACAATTGTATTTTTGGTTGTCATATAATAGCAATATCCCGATTAATTTGTCATACATTTTAACTCTGATGTGAACACAACACACTTCATACCATACAAACAAGCCTAAGAGAATAATGTTATGGTACCAGCTTCTTTCAAATCTGACATTATAGATGTTTCTACGAGATGGCCATCATGGACAGGATGGTCCTATAATGTATGTGTGTATATCTGATGCTCCATGATCCTATAGACAGACACAGGATTATAAAAGCTATTTAGGAGAGAGTCCAGTTCTGCTTCAGTTGACTGTGATGTATATCTAATATCTAAGTGTATAAGGGAGTGAACTGCATCTGTATACCTGAGAGTTGACTGGTTGATGCGAGATCAGAAATTGTCATTCTGTGTATTCTTGAGAACTGGCTATTGTATATCTATAAATAAAAAAACTTTATTCATTTTACAACAATCATGAAACAAGTTTTTCCAACTTAAATTAGCCACTCTTGTTGGCCTGGATGGAAGTATGTCTTATTGTGGGAGGAACCCAAGTACCCCAGGGAAAACCTAGGTGGTCAGACTGGTGACCACATACCTTTTCACATCCATTCTGGGAGTTGAACCCCGGATGTCTAGGTGAAAGGCAAGCGCATTAACACAGCACTACTCAACCACCCTGTATTCTATATTTGTCTTTCAATACGCCCAGTGAGCCAATGCTTAACCCGAAAGCTTAGACTCAAAAGTAGGGAGATCGGTTTACCCTGTAACCTTTCACTCAGAGGCATGGGGCTTGAGATTGAGAATATTCCTGTAGGAGTAGCCATATTTATATATAACAGTTAAAACTATACATCAACACTATTTGGATAAGTGGAAGTTTTTACACAGTGGTACTTAAATATTACATTTTATAGTCATAATTAGCCTTTTCTTGCAATGCCATGTCAGAACAGATTTTTATCATTGGAATGAAATTTTAAAACATTTCAGCAGCCCATTATGCTAAATCTAATTGTGATATAATGATTTAAGGCTGGCTGTGACAGTTATATTTGAAAGAGGCCGAAGAAGCATAAGAGTTTTCATTAGTCTTCAAATTGACAGAGTTAGGTGACAGTCATTTTAAACCTCAGTTAAGAAAAAGGTGACAAAATTAAATGTCAGTTTCTGTTTATAGTCATTAATCATATAAGCATTCCCCAGATTGAACAAAACGGAAATATTATACTTCCTCTTTGTAAATATGACAACTGATTTCTGTTGGAATGAAAAATTAATTGAAATACAAAAATAAAGTGAACTTCTATGGCACTTGTTATCATTGAATGCCACTCACCGTTTTGCCTACAACAATATATACATTTAAAATGTTACAAAAACATCAAGTGTTGATTTAAATGAAATTTTTTAATACAATACTGTAGTCCTTGACAACTTCAAAAATGTCTTCTTGTCTCAGTGTGTTGTGTCAGGTGAATAGTGTGTACTGTTGAGAATGTGGGCCATTTTTGTTTGAGAATGTCTGCTCTATTTATTACACTTACAAGTGCGCTGTGTGTTTCTCATTCGCCCATGCTCTTGAATGTTTGAGATTGGAAAGCAGAATTTATGAAAGGTGACAAGAGTTTGATTGAACTTGACAACATGTATCTAGAATCATTTGGATATTGTATGTAAGACTTCTATCACAGATTCTAATTTTCAAATTACAATTTCTTATTGTTTGAAGTGATTAATTATAAAGAAAAGACTGCCATACTGTTTTCATATTGAGTAAAAGTGCATCATTTGATTTGAATTCAAATAAATGATCTACCAATCAAAGTGCTTGAAGGATATGCTTTCTGAGATCATGAGACCTGACCTCGAGATTCATTGGTGTGGAAAGTTGTGCGATATATTTCTGCATCAAATACTTAAATCTTACAAGATACAGATAACTTGTACATGATAATTATGTCTATTTACAGTATCATATGTAGGCGTTGTATGCCAGTTATAAGGAACACTATATTAAGGAACTCTGTATCGCTCAATTCCTTTCACTTATTGGATATATATATATATATAGCATACGAGATGTGATCATCTTGCCTCTTATTTCTGGAAAGTTCTGTTAATTGGTGAAGTAAACATGTACGATATCATACATCCTTGTCTCAGTCCTGTTTTAGGAAAAGCTCAAAGCTGTTTTCACAAAAAGGAGAGTTCCTGATTATGTAGTATAATGATATTCCTTTCCATCCCTAAATAAATGGACAATAAATGGAATTTGCTTATAGGGATTTAGATGGATCTTAGAATGAATACGGGGGTGCTATATCAATTATATGTTATATACAGAATTTTGATTTCATGGAACTCTCCTTTTTTTGCAAAACACATTAGATGTCTGTGAGAAGTGGTCTCAAATTTTCTTAAGTGGTAAAAGGATGGAAGTTGTCTCCTCCGTATAATCCTATACTGTAGGGATTTGTTCTTGTTGAAACTGGTGATTTGTATTGAAGACAGGGTATACTGTATAGCTAGCCCTGATGTACCTATTTTGTGTATCTGTATAAGCAGGAAGTATATCTATACATTTAGTGGAAATCGTAAACTACCGTCAAAGACTCAATTCTTCACAGCTGCAACACAAATCATGATTCAAACATGTTTTAGATGTATCTAATGAATTATTTGTGAGTAAATATCATGCACCTTTATTAAGCCAATTTAGTTTTATTTGAAAACCAGTTAAACTGGTCAAGAAAATGTTAAAATGCAAATTTTTGTGTTGTTTGGATATTGTGAATTAAAAAAGAATACTGATTTTATCAGCTGCATGATGTTTTAAAGTATGTGCACACAGATTGTTTGAATCATTTCTTGGGTATGGTGTTTGTGTGTATTGTTTGTCAATTCTCCATCACTTTTACATGTAATTGTATACTGAAACAATACTTGATAAAATCCTTGATGCTTGTTGTGTCCCAGAATATGTTGAACTGGTTTCCGTACATGTCTCATTTTTGTAGTTTTGCTCTTTTAAATGTAGAGTTATTCCCCTTTTATAAGGAAACTTATACTGCCACTGTTTTTTTTTTTAAGTAGAAACGAAACTCTTTGATGGAAGAGATGATGATGTTTTTTTTTAAGTCTGGTCCACTTTTAAGATATATGTTATCATAAACTGTGAGCCTTAACATTCATTTAAAAGTGATTTGTGACAATACTTGTTTAACTGAATATTAACTTTGATTTCTAAATTTGAGTTCCTGAAATTCATTAGCTGACCCACTTAAAGGTGTGAATGAATCAATACCAGTTTGGAAAAGAAAATGGTTCAGCTAAAATATTTCTGTAAAACCAAACCAGAAATATTTGAAAGCTCTCAACTCCAGTAGTTGTCTGTCTTTTGATGACCTGAAAAATTGTAGAAGTTTTGGGCTCGGCTGGCAAGAAGGGCCAAGCAAGCCATAGGGATACCGGGACATTGGTCTTCCAACATCCATCAACATTTCCTTTAAATCACTAGACATGAATGCCTGACAGGATTTTAACCATCTTTGCTCTGAAACTTGCCTTGGGGAAGGGGAACAAATTTTGTAAAAAAGAAAATCTATTAATTTCTATGACTCTATCTTATTCCCTAGGAATGATTCTTGGCTAAAGGGAAATTAATTTTGTATTATTGGATTGGTTTCAGCGACCAGGGGCAGGGAATGCAGGACCCAGTAGGGGAAATAGAGCAATTATTTGAAATTCTTTTATTCTTGTAGGGATGATAAGATTTTGCCCAAATTTGGTCCGAAGCATTCTTCATTGAAAGGGAATTACATTTTTTATAAACGTTGGCTTTTGGCCCCATGGGGCAGGAGGAGTGACACCAGATATTGGAAATAGAACAAGTTATTTAAGATTTTTCTTTTCCTTTAGTTAGAATTACCTAATCAATTTCAGCAAACTAAACCATATGAGTGATACAGGCCCTATGGGCCACTTGTTCTCCCATAACTTTTTATTACTCTTTGTAATATAAATGTAATGGAAGTTTTTCAATAAATAGAATTGACAAAACAATGTTAGATGTAAGATAGGTAGGTTACACTCATATCTTACTAATAACCAGATATAATGATACCGAGTGCATTACTCTTAAATACATAAATAGATGCAGAGATTACGAGATGAATGTTTCTGTTGATAATTTCTTTCTACTAAACATACTGTTGATGAATTCTATTTCATGTGGCTGCCTTACTTAGTAAGTTAGTAGGTTCATAGAGGTTGAAATAGCGCATATTTTGTCCAGTTCCTTGTAATAAAGTATATTCTGTAATAAGCACCTCGCATCTTGCCTGTTTGTGTCAGCAAAATGTTCACTGAATGTGTCATTTAAGAGAATGATAATAAACAGATAAAGTGTTGGTATTTGATGTGCATTACGTAAACATGCCTTTGACATATCACATGATTTCTCATGATGACAATGTTTAACATGTTTACATACAGTCATAAAGGACATATCTGACGTTGAGGTATGTCCACATGCACATGATTTTGACACACGGCTGACACAACAGGTGTTAAAGGCGATATGCTACCTTTACCAGAGATGAAACGATGACATTGTCGCCTTAATGTCATTCAAGGCCAGAGATTTGTGATGCAATTGAAAAGAGTGTTAGAAATTAATCAACAAAATCCCCCTAGCCAGTTATACATAAAGAATATCTTTATAATCTTCTGTACAAGAGGTACACATCAGATGTAAGGTAGCATACAACCTTAAGTTAGGTGCTAGATAATTAGATGTTGTTCTGTGGTATATGTAGTTCTCAGATTTTAAAACAGTGTTACACTAAGAGTGTAATCTGTTTACACTGGTGACTACTAGAAATGTAATCTGTTTACACTGGTGACTACTAGAAATGTAATCTGTTTACACTGGTGACTACTAGAAATGTAATCTGTTTACACTGGTGACTACTAGAAATGTAATCTGTTTACACTGGTGACTACTAGAAATGTAATCTGTTTACACTGGTGACTACTAGAAATGTAATCTGTTTACACTGGTGACTACTAGAAATGTAATCTGTTTACACTGGTGACTACTAGAAATGTAATCTCTTTACACTGGTGACTACTAGAAATGTAATCTCTTTACACTGGTGACTACTAGAAATGTAATCTGTTTACACTGGTGACTACTAGAAATGTAATCTCTTTACACTGGTGACTACTAGAAATGTAATCTCTTTACACTGGTGACTACTAGAAATGTAATCTCTTTACACTGGTGACTACTAGAAATGTAATCTGTTTACACTGGTGACTACTAGAAATGTAATCTCTTTACACTGGTGACTACTAGAAATGTAATCTGTTTACACTGGTGACTACTAGAAATGTAATCTCTTTACACTGGTGACTACTAGAAATGTAATCTCTTTACACTGGTGACTACTAGAAATGTAATCTGTTTACACTGGTGACTACTAGAAATGTAATCTCTTTACACTGGTGACTTAGAAATGTAATCTCTTTACACTGGTGACTACTAGAAATATAATCTGTTTACACTGGTGACTACTAGAAATGTAATCTCTTTACACTGGTGACTACTAGAAATGTAATCTGTTTACACTGGTGACTACTAGAAATGTAATCTGTTTACACTGGTGACTACTAGAAATGTAATCTCTTTACACTGGTGACTACTAGAAATGTAATCTGTTTACACTGGTGACTACTAGAAATGTAATCTGTTTACACTGGTGACTACTAGAAATGTAATCTCTTTACACTGGTGACTACTAGAAATGTAATCTGTTTACACTGGTGACTACTAGAAATGTAATCTCTTTACACTGGTGACTACTAGAAATGTAATCTGTTTACACTGGTGACTACTAGAAATGTAATCTGTTTACACTGGTGACTACTAGAAATGTAATCTCTTTACACTGGTGACTACTAGAAATGTAATCTCTTTACACTGGTGACTACTAGAAATGTAATCTGTTTACACTGGTGACTACTAGAAATGTAATCTGTTTACACTCAAGATGTTCCATGTCTCTGTTATGGAAAATTTGCATGTTAAAAATCTCTTGTCAGTCATGGAGTGTGACTGGAGTATGATATCAGGAGAGTAAACAATATATGGATATGAAGGAGAGAGTGATTAGTGGTGTGAAAGTGTTTTCCTCGTCAGTGTGTAACACGCTTTTAAGTGTCAGTGGTGCACACCTGCCTTCAGAACTAGTGTTAACTGTATATTGTATGTATTTTGTATTATACACGCTATTACACATGTAAAATCATGATGTAATTCATACCAATAAAAAAGATTATAAACAACAAGCCTCCCTGTTTTCATTGGTTGTTTTACTGGCTCATCAGTCAACACAAGTTGTCTGTGTTAAATATAAATAGCAGTGTTAGACCTCATAGTTGCTGCCATTTCACCTAAAACACTTTTAATGTAAGGCCTGATAAATTAGTTCCATCACACATCTGGCCTATCAGAATGGTTAACATCTCCTTACAGGCTTGCTAAAAAGTGTCTTTCTCATCCAAGGCTTGTTATGATTGTTTTCATCTCATCCAAGTCATGTTGAAATGGTTTTCATCACATTTAAAGCTTGCTGAAATAGTTTCCATTTCACATTAGCCTCGCTGAAATAGTTTCCATTTCACATAAGCCTCGCTGAAATAGTTTCCATTTCACATTAGCCTCGCTGAAATAGTTTCCATTTCACATTAGCCTCGCTGAAATAGTTTCCATTTCACATTAGCCTTGCTGAAATAGTTTCTATCTTGTCCAAAACTTGCTATAAATAATTTCCAATTTTAGGTCACCTGAGACGGTCTCGTGGTGACCTATTCTAATACCCATCATCTGGCATCGTGCGTCCGTAAACAATTTATCACTTTTGACTTCTCAAAATCACCTGATCCAATTTCAACGAAATTTTGCAGAAACCTTAGCAGGCCTAAGATGAACCAAATTTATGAATTATACAGTCCCCACTCCACAGGGGCCTGGGGGACAGGGCCAAAAGTGGGTCAAAAATCTTCTCAAGACCCAGCTATAGTAGAATCAAATACTCGTCATGAATGTAAGCATCTTGAGGTGCTTTACCAAAAGTTTGAATTTTATGATCCCAGGGTCTCGCATTTCCCCTTGTGAGGGGGTAAAGTTTACTATAGTTTATACAGGAAAACTAGATTTTTTAGCATAATCTGTTTAGTTTCCATTGGAAATATTTCAAATTTAGTTAGAATTATGAGTGAAGGATGAAGGCTTGATGGTATGCCCATTTTGATCCTGACTGACCCCCAGGGGTGGATGGGCGGCGCCAAAATGGGTCAACTTGATTTAAATTTCAAAAATCTTCTCAACACCCAGATATGGTATATTTAAATGCTCTTCATGAACGAAAGCATCTTAAGGTGCTTGAATTACCAAAATGAGTCTCGCGTTTCTTCCTGGGGAGGAAAATGTTTAGACTTTACTGTAATTTTCATAGAAAAATAGCATTTTTGAGCATAACGGTTATTTCCCACTGGAAATAACTTTTATAAGAATTATCAGTATAGGATGACAGATTTGATGGTATGCATGTATTGACACCGGCTTACTTTTTTCAGTGTCACGATTTCTGTTTCATGACACTTGATAACTATCTTTTAACCTTTATATATAATATTGCTTATCTCGGGTGACTGTCAAGGCCGCTAGGCCTCCTGTATGTAAAGCTTAGCATAGTTTCTACCTCATCAGAATCCGACTAATGTAGTCCCATTTCCTTAGTTCTGCTATGACATTTCCTTGTCTTCAGGGGTTTTGCTGTATTTTTAGGTCAGGTGAGAGAAAGTCTCAGGGTGACCTTTTGTGATTTCCTTTTGTCCAGCGATGTGTATTGTTAGTTTTTTACTTCTTCTGGAAAACTCAAGAACCGAATTTCAATGAAATTTTACAAAAATTTGCCATGGCTTAAGGCCCACCAAAATTGTAAATTATATTATCCCCAACCCTGAGGGGCGGGGCCAAAAAGGGTCAAATGGACTGAAATTTCAAAAATATTCTATTGTTCCTGGATGGAAGATTTTATATAAATATAAGAAAATTCAAATCTTGGGCGAAATCTCTTTTAATTCAAACTTGGTTAGAACCCTTAGCTTTGGACAGCAGTTAATGTATACACAATTTACATTTGAATTATGTGCTCAATATATAGTTAAAGTTATTTTGTTTTTTTTAAACAAAACAATTTCTATGACACGTTACTAGAACCATTGTGACCCGTGTGACAGCTAAGGGCCTTGGGTCTCTTGTTTTTTATCCCATACAAAATGCATTTGCAAGGGATGTTAAATAGGGCTATTTCCTTCCATGCTAGGACATTTTTTGAACCAGTGCTCTGAACAATTCAAGATAATTACTCGAAACTTTTTACAGTAGGAAGTATCTAGTACCATAGCAGTACCTTTGCTCTGGAGAAATTCTCCATTTAGATAATTTTTTGTTACCGTGGAAACAGGCCAAATAACAAATTCAGTTTTTATGCCAAACCATACCAAACCAACAGTAAAAAAGATGATCTACATTGAAATATCGGTAACAGTAGTTGAATAGAGTTATTTACTACATATATATGTTTGTGTTTGTCTTTTAAATCATGTAAACAGCAGGATAATGTCAGACTCAACAGTTTTTTTTCTTTTTTTTATTTCTAAAATGGATGAAAATCTTATGATGAATATCATCAATCTGTTCATTTTATTTGATAATAAATTGTTTGGGATATATCAACAATAGTTCGTGTGATATCTAAAGCAATATTGGCTTGGTATGCTTAGTCTAAGTTGTCTGTCACGACATAGCTAATAAAATCTGCACGGTCATGATGTCTGTTCATTCCCATGTAATGATGACATAATTAGTCATACTGATAAAACTACAGTGAAAACTGTAATCATGTGACATGATCATGTGATGAACTATGATTGATTATGTTAACTTTCGCTTTCTTCATAAAGTTAATAGACTGAAAACTGCGCATTGGAAAATGTTGCACTTCTCAAATTCTGCAAGTGGACCATCAGGAGTTATTTCAATCTCACTCCTCGGCTGACAAGGCTGTGATATTGACAAGTCCACGGACTTTGATGTAGATCCACATTTTTTCTTTGATGTCTACTTTAATAGTACCAATATGTTTACCCACTTTTTATAACATTATGAATCGATCAATTCACTATTGCAAATGTAATTTTTACTCACGAAACTCACAAGTCATGCAAACAGAATTCACCTGATAATTTATCGTATAAAGCACAACTATTCAATTAAACATCTGGCACTGTCGAATGCTGCTGAACAGAATGTTCAGCCATTGAAACTAATCTTTATTGCTATGTTTCTGACAGCCAATCTTGCTGTCCATTCTGTCTACAACAATATTAACTGTTGGTCTCATCACTGTGTACTGTGACACTAAACGTCAATCCCACTATCTACAGTGACATTAACCGTCATTCCCACTATCTACAGTGACATTAACCGTCATTCCAACTATATACAATGTCATTACCCCTCATTCCCACTATCTACAGTGACATTAACCGTCATTGCTGCCATCTACAGCGACATTAACCGTCATTCCCACTATCTACAGTGACATAAACAGTCATTCCCACTATCTACAGCGACATTAACCGTCATTCCCACTATCTACAGTGACATAAACAGTCATTCCCACTATCTACAGTGACATTTACCGTCATTCCCACTATCTACAGTGACACTAACCGTCAATCCCACTAACTACAGTGACATTTACCGTCATTCCCACTATCTACAGTGACATTAACCATCATTCCCACTATCTACAGTGACATAAACCGTCATTCCCACTATCTACAGTGACATTTACCGTCATTCCCACTATCTACAGTGACATTTACCGTCATTCCCACTATCTACAGTGACACTAACCGTCAATCCCACTAACTACAGTGACATTTACCGTCATTCATACTATCTACAGTGACATAAACCGTCATTCCCACTATCTACAGTGACATTTACCGTCATTGCTGCCATCTACAGTGACATTAACCGTCATTCCCACTATCTACAGTGACATTAACCATCATTGCTGCCATCTACAGTGACATTAACCGTCATTCCCACTATCTACAGTGACATGAACCGTCATTGCTGCCATCTACAGTGACATTAACCGTCATTCCCACTATCTACAGTGACATTAACCGTCATTTCCACTATCTACAGTGACATTAACCGTCATTCCCACTGTCTACAATGCCATTAACCGTCATTCCCACTATCTACAGTGACATTAACCGTCATTCCCACTATCTACAGTGACATTAACCGTCATTCCCACTATCTACAGTGACATTAACCATCATTCCCACTATCTACAGTGACATTAACCGTCATTCCCACTATCTACAGTGACATTAACCATCATTACCACTATCTACA